CCTTAAGCTTTAGCACCCTAAACCCCAAAACCACATATCCTGAAGAGTTCCATTTTTTTGCAGGTACCTGTAAAGGGGGCCCTCGTTCTAAAACCAACCCGCACGAGAACGCTGAGGCACCTTGGTTAAGTCGGCCAGAACCTCTCTCCCTGGTTTACGGTTTGTAGTTCAGGGTTGTAGGGTCTTTGGGCTTGGGGTTCAGAGGTTTAAGATTTAGGGCCTGGGGTTCAGGGTAGGGTTGAGGCTTACCCAAACACTCCTGTGGAGTACTTATTTGGGGGGGTAGTATACTAGAATCCCCCAGAACTAACCCCAAGCTTGTACTACAGAGGAGCCTTTGGCTTACTTTTTAGGTTTTCGCAGGTTTTGGGCTTCGGGTTTAGGAACCGACTCCGTGTATCGACCTGGTGCGTTTCCTGCTTCTCTGAAGGTTTCGAACCCTGAAACTCTAAGCCCTAAGTAGACCCTAAACCCTAAACCCCTAACCCCAAACCCCAAACCCCAAACCCTAAACCCAAACCCCAGACCCCAGACCCCAAACCCCAAACCCCTAACCCCAAACCCCAAACCCCAAACCCCAAACCCCAAACCCCAAACCCCAAACCCCACCCCAGACCTCAAACCCCAAACCCCAAACCCCAAACCCCAAACCCCAAACCCCAAAAACCCTAAACCCTAAACCCTAAACCCTAAACCCTAAACCCTAAACCCTAAACCCTAAACCCTAAACCCTAAACCCTAAACCCTAAACCCTAAACCCTAAACCCTAAACCCTAAACACTAAAACCCTAAACCCTAAACCCTAAACCCTAAACCCTAAACCCTAAACCCTAAACCCTAAACCCTAAACCCTAAACCCTAAACCCTAAACCCAAGCCCTCCTAAACCCTAAACCCCAAGCCCGAAGCCCTAAACCCTGAACTCGATAACCCTTTACCGTTTGCCTAAGAACCCCAACAGAACATTTAAAAGTCATCATCCCTATAATTACCCGTAATAAGGAAGTTTAAAAGTCATACTCCCTATATTACCCTTAATAAGGAAGTTGAAAAGTCATAATCCCTATATTGCCCTTAATAAGGAAGTTTAAAAGTCATAATCCCTATATTACCCTTAATAAGGAAGTTTAAAAGTCATAATCCCTATATTACCCTTAATAAGGAAGAACGTTTTACATTTTTTCGGGGTTCTGACGCAATTAGTAGCCCCAATGCCCCAATGCCTGGAAGCCCTGGACCAGGACCCGAGTGCAAGAGAGCGGCCCCTCGACTGCGAACGGGGCTCGAAGTTTAGGGTTTAGGGTTTAGGGTTTAGGGTTTAGGGTTTAGGGTTTAGGGTTTAGGGTTTAGGGGCTCCGGGAGTTAATGGGTTAACCATCTTCATTCTTACGATTTTGAGTGTACTCTCCTTCCTAGGTTTGGAACGGGAAGGGTCCAAGCTACCTGATTGTCGTTCCTTTGGGGGGTGGGGGTGTACCTGATTTCAGGACGAACAGGCCCAACCGCAACATGTCGCCTGAAAGCAAAATGTCAAGCATCCATGAACCATAGTTCCGAAATCCTCGTACTCTGAGCAGTGCAAGAGAATGCCAGCCTGAAGTTTTGTGGTCAACCCTCAGCCCTAAACACAAAACCCTAAACCCTAAACCCGAGTGGATTGAGGTGTTGGTGGCTCAGGGTTTTCGGCGGTAGGGGTTCGGGTTTCCACTAGGGGCATTTGCGTCTGGCCGTCTTTTCACTCTGAGAACCAGGGGTTTAGGGTTTAGGGTTTCGGGTCCAGGCTCTGGGGTTTAGGGTTCAGGGTTTACGATTTAGGGTTTAGGGCTAGCCCCAAAACCTTGAGGTCATGTACCTCTCCCAAGCTGACGAAGAGCACTCGGACGAGGACCATCCACTAGGGTGTAGGGTTTAGGGTTTAGGGCTTGGGGTTTAGGGTTTGGGGTTTAGGGTTTAAGGTTCGGGTTCAGGCTCAGGTTTTTTTGGGGTTTTCGGCTACTGAGGCACCCAATAGTGCATCATTCTGTCTACTGGGACCCCCGGTACCTTTGTCGTGGGTTTAGGATTCAGGGGCTTGGCAGGACACAGCTCCCCGGAGCGCTCACACACTGTACTGCACTTAGGCAACCAAGCACATGCTAAACACCTGGATCCAGAAAGTAACCAGAACAACAGCCTATAGCCCAAACAGACATGAAGCTGCAGTTCAGATCCAAACCTCCTTGAAACCCTGAATGGTGAACGCGGAACAGCTTGTCTACTAAGTGCTTACGAAACCCCAAAGAATACACCTCAATAATCCAGATATTGCCCTATGAGGAAGAGTCTTGATTTTTTGGGTGGTTCTTAATTAGGTTTTGGGTTTTTTGAGGGGTGTTGAGGTTCAAGACGTTAGGATTGCACCGATAGCTCGAGCCAAATGTCACTGTCCTCAGCATGGCTTTGCCGAAAAAAGACCCAACCCCCGAGCCCCAAGCCCGAAACCCCAAACAGCAAACTCTAAGGCCTAATCCTCGATCCCGAAGCCTTGAGCCCCAAAGACCCTAAACCCCAAACCCTAAGCCCCGAAACTCGAAACTCGAAACCCAAAGCCTAACCCCCAAACCCTCAACCTTAAACCTCGATCCCCCAGCCCTAAAAGCCCCAAACCCCAAACCCTAAACCTCAGTCCCGAAAACCTAAGCCGTTAAGCCCTTGAGCCCTATAAACCCTGGCGAGGAGCGGAAGCAGAAGCACGCCTACTTATGCGGCACGAGCTGCACATGGGCCTTTTTTGGGCACTCCAGCTCTTTAGGGTTAGGGTTGAGGGTTCAGAGTTGAGGGTCTAGGGTTCAAGGTATGTTTCCCAAGGCTCCTAGAACTCCCTATTACTCCCTAAGGCTCCCTAAGCTTCCATGAACCCCCCCCTCCCTTAAGAACCCTATAATAAGTGCTTAGACTTGGGGATTGAGGGTTTCGGGTTTATGGGGGTTTGGAGTTTAGGAAGGGGCGGGGGAACCTGCGCAGCTTTTCCTGGCCCAACTTTTCCTAGAAGCACACTCTGCCCATGGGCTTATGGTTGAGGGGTTGAGGGGTTGAGGGGTTTAGGGGTTTAGGGTTTAGGGTTTAGGGGTTTAGGGGTTTAGGGGTTTAGGGGTTTAGGGGTTTAGGTTTAGGGTTAGGGTTTAGGGTTTACTTGCCCATGGGCCAGCCGACTCAAGCGCAGACGTCTCGGCGTGGTTGCGTGCCCGGAACCCAGACGATCTTATGATTGCCTCTTTGGGCTTAAGAGGAGTTACTTAAGGAGTTGATGTTTTTAGAAGGCTTTCAAATCATGTTGACGAAGTTTGGGGAACCCCCCCTCAACAACCAGTTGTTCACGATGTTTATTGCTGGGTTCACTTGAAAGCACCCTTTCACAAGGGAATGTCCTCTGCTAGGCTCGACATCCCAATGCCCTAAACCCTAAACCCTGAACCCTAAACCCTAAACCCTAAACCCTAAACCCTAAACCCTAAACCCTAAACCCTAAACCCTAAACCCTAAACCCTAAACCCTAAACCCTAAACCCTAAACCCTAAACCCTAAACCCTAAACCCTTAAAGCCTTTAGCCCTGCAAGCAAGACGTTTCTGGAGCCTGGAGCCCGGAATTCAAAACCCAAGCCCTGCAAGCAGGCTTTAAGGTTTAGGGTTTAGGATTTGGGGTTTAGGGTGTAGGGTCTAAGAATTTAGGGTGCAGGGAGCTGCTATATGCCTGAAGGACTGAACCCCCAAACCCTGCATCATGCACCCAATTTTCGTCTGAGCATTCTCAGGGTTCTAAACCCTAAACCCTAAACCCTAAACCCTAAACCCTAAACCCTAAACCCTAGAGCCTCGGCACTGGCCATGCCGATGATCACCGACCTTCTGCATGACCGGGCTAGGCCCAATGTGTCCTAAGAAGCCCCCAAAGCCTCCTCCAGCCAGACGTCCCCCCCTCGAAGACACCACACACCCTCAACCCTACAAGCCTTCAATTTTCCTATAATATTGGGTTGGCCTTTAGAATTAGTTCAACATTTTTCTTTGTTGGGTTTAGAAGGGCCCCCATCTACTAATTTTGTTCAGATTGGTTTTGAAGGCCAGCCCAGTATAAAAACTATCCGCCAGACAGCAGCAGCTACATGGCGGCAGCAGCTGCGACCCGCGCAGGCCACCGAGCCATGCCATTGCAAGGGCAGCGAGGGATACGTTGTGAATGTAGCTTGCCTAATGGCGATGGCTTGAAGGCTCCCTAAGCTTCCCTAAGGTTGTTTCGGTACCAACCCCCAAAAAGCCCCCTTCCTTAAAGACCCTATAACCTTCTTGGGTACCCCGAAACAAGAAAGATGAAGGGAAGTTCGCGCCTGAAGGTCCAAGGTCAGGGTTTGCGGTTGGGCAGACGTCGAGGGCTCTTTATTGTTGCCGATTGGAGACTTTACCCTAAACCCAAAACCCTAAACCCTAAACCCTAAACCCTAAACCCTAAACCCTAAACCCTAAACCTTTCACCATCGTCAGAAGGCCAACTCGACAGAAAGCGGTGACACACTGCTCCCCTCCTCACAGATACATGGCCTGGAAAACAATCACCGAAACCCCCGCACCTCCGTTTCTTAGGAGGGAATCTGTCACCACAAGCCCTAAACCCTGAACCCTAAACTCTAAACCCTAAACCCTAAACCTTAAACCCTAAACCATTTAAACCCTAAACCCTAAACCCTAAACCCTTCCCCAGACGCCCGCCTTGCTTCGCGCAGCTGCCTGGACTCAAGGTGTCACTGAAACCCCAGCCCTTGAACCAGAATACAACCGTGGATGGAACACCAGCCATCAAGTATGTCCCTACGAATCGGGTTTAGGGTTTAGGGTTTAGGGTTTAGGGTTTAGGGTTTAGGGTTCCGCCTTATAAAACCCTATAACCCCTGTAACCTAAGGCCTTACAGCTTTTGGCTGAGCGACCATTTGAGAATCACGGGAGGGGTTTCCGGTTCATACGCCGTATGCTCCGGCGGGCTTTCTTCTGCAGCCATGTCGTCAGCGTTTCTGGGGTGCTGTATAACTGCCTCGTGGACTTCGATTGCTTTGAAAGCCCGGACGAAGAGGAGCTTTGCGCCAAGTCACTTGCACCCTCCGATTGCTGCAGAGCTGCGCTGCTGGTGAAGCAAGTGCGGCGACTGGGCGAGTCTTGGTCACAAAAGAACTGCAAGACTGGGTTTATGTACTCATGTGCTGCTCTAGTCGGTATTCTGGGGTATGTAGGCTATAAACCCTTCTAGAGTACGGTTTAGGGCTTAGGGATTAGGGCTGAGGGCTTAGGGCTTAGGGTTTAGGGTTTAGGGTTTAGAGTTTAGGGTTTGGGGTTTAGGGTTTAGGGCTCACTTCCTCCCTATAGGAAGATGAGCCCACGTCATTTCGGGAGCCACCCGTGGTCCACGACTTGTGCATGCGCTTCATCTCCCTGCCCGCGATGGCGCCTAAGATGGAGCTTCAGCTCGCCCACTGCCCCTTGAGATCTTAGCAGTCCTAAACCCTAAACCCTAAACCCTAAACCCTAAACCCTAAACCCTAAACCCTAAACCCTAAGCCCTAAGCCCTAAACCCTAAACCCTAAACCCTAACCTTAGGCTCACGGTGGCTCTTGGGCATGGCCTTTGCCGCAGATGTTGCGAAACTGGGACCCTGGAGTTTAGGGTTTGGGGTTTAGGGTTTAGGGTTTAGGGTTTAGGGTTTAGGGTTTAGGGCTCTACACCTCATGGGGAGCAAACAGTGCCGTTGTGATTCTTACTCATGAGATGCTCTGGGACCTAGGAAGACCGGGCGCGAGCCGGGAGCGAACGAGACCTGTTCCGATTTGTCAGTTTCGCGGCGGTATCCCCTGGAGTATGACAGCTGCTTGGATGGATCCTGGGATGTTTTACATTCTTGGTAGCCCAGTGGTACTCTTTTCCCTTTTTTTGGTTCAAGGTTTCCCTTACACACTAGCCAACCCCAAAGAAGGGTGCCCTTATTGGAATATGGTTACTGGGCTACCAAGCATTCCGTTTATTGAGTTCAAGAAGGGTCGTTTTGAGAAATATTCTGCAGCCTTAATCCTTGGGGCTTGACTGAACACTAAAGGGCTTATGGTTCAAATGATGCACCCTCTTAGGGTTTAGAGCAGTCTAGGGTCTATGATCCAATTTTGGGGGGGTGCATTTGGTCTCAAAAGAAGGGCCAAGCTAGGCTACGTCGTTTGGGACTACGTCTTTCGGTACGTCTTCGACAAGTTCACCGTCTATCAGAGGAGACAGAACCGCCGCTTGAAGGAGCTGCTGGCTCATACACGGAAGTGCCGAAGCCTCGGACGCTTCGATCTGCATTATCCCAAAAACTTGCTGGTTAGGGTTTGGGGTTTGGGGTTTGGGGTTTAGGGTTTAGGGTTTAGGGTTTAGGGTTAGTTTAGGGTTTAGGGTTACTATCCCAAACCTCATTCTTTCAGGGGGCAAGGAAGGAATGAGAGTCCCTAAAGAAGACCTCCTATGGGCCATATGTATGGGGATGTAAGGTGCCCAGTTCCGCAATTTCTAGCTCGCAAGCAAACCCGAACTCTGCAGCACGTGAAGAGGAGCAGACTTTCTGCAGCGTATGTTGGCTACCCGAAACCCCATGCAAAGCCTTAGCCCAAACCAAGCCTTTCAGCCTTTGCAAATAAACCCTAAACCCTAAACCCTCAGAGCTGCAGACCCTACGCCCACGAAATCCTCTAAGTCGCATGAAACCCTACAAAGCCCCGCAAGCCCTCCTAGTGCCATAGGCCCGATAATTGTCAGCCCTACCACCCCGGCCCCCTTATAAACCCTAAACCCTAAACCCTCAACCCTCCCTAAACCCTAAACCCTAAACCCTAAACCCTAAACCCTAAACCCTAAACCCTAAACCCTAAACCCTAAGCCCTAAACCCTAAACCCTAAACCCTAAACCCTAAACCCTAAACCCTAAACCCTAAACCCTAAACCCTAAACCCTAAACCCTAAACCCTAAACCCTAAACCCTAAACCCTAAACCCTACACCCTTCCAAAGCACCTCGGCAACTTTGCGTCGAGGAGTCGAGTCGCCCCTGTACAATCCCTTTGAGCCTGACCGCTGTCTGGAAGAGCATCCGGTGATGAGGAGTTGGGCGCCTGAGACTCCGAAGTCCCAGCATAGGCCTTTTTTTCAAGTTAGGGTTTAGGGTTTAGGGTTTAGGGTTTAGGGGTTAAGGCTTTTTCAAGGCAGCTTTAGAAGTCCTTAAGCCGAAAACCTTGCTCGAGTTTAGGGTTTAGGGTCTGTAGGGTTTGTGGCGCTTTACGTGCTCGCGGAAATCTGGCGAAGAGTCCCCAAAGCCCTGAACCCTGAACCAGGTGCAGTTCAGGGACACCTGGAACTTCACCCACAGCCAGCACCTCACCGCTGCCCGTGTCGCTTGGCTGGTTCTTGGTAGGTTTAGGGTTTGGGGTTTGGGGTTTAGGCTTTCGGGTTTCGTGTTTAGTGTTTAGGGTTTAGGGTTTAGGGGTACCGCACCCTCTCTACGCCCTGGAGGGCCTTTAGCGGGCCCTACCGGTAAATTTCCACGTTCTTGACGACAAACCGGCAAGGCAGTCTTCTGCCGGGGATATAAATACAGGTACCTCATCCTCCAAAAACCCTATACTACTAGCTGGTAAGGTAAACCCTAAACCTAAACCCTAAACCCTAAACCCTAAACCCGAAGCCCTAAACCCTAAACCCTAAACCCTAAGCCCTAAACCCTAAACCCTAAACCCTAAACCCTAAACCCTAAACCCTAACTGTCGGGGGATATCAAGGTACCTTATCCTCAAAGTTCCCTCTACTAGCTGGCAAGGTAGACTGGCTGGGGATCACCGTGGACTGTGCGGATGGGACTCTTGAGAGCCTCCAATTCTCCTTCACGCGTTTTCTGGAGTGCCTGGGTATTCCATGGGGTCCTCTACCAGGAGACCCGGCACCTCAGCGGGGTACGCTTTTTTACAGTTTTTGTTTCGAGGTGCCCCTTATAAAGTAGCCAACCCCAAACAAGGGTACCCTCATTATGAGATTGTCACTGTGCGACCAGGAGAGGATTACTTTGAGACGATCACACTCTTGCAGAGTGTTGCGGAGAGTGGAGACTCCTTTGTGGCTGCCCCGAGGTTCTTCAGAGCAAAGGCATTTTTTGCACTCTAGGGTCTGATCCCTACTTTACACCCTAAACCCGTAAAGCCCTAAATACCCAGTAAAACCCTACAAGTTTCACGTAAACTGGCCAAAATGGAAACTACCCGTTGTATCCCTAAACCCTAAACCCTGAACCCTAAACCCTAAACCCCATATCTTCTAAAGTAAGTTCCGCACAAACTGCCCCAAATCCCTCGCTCTCGACTACTAGGCCCCTGACACTTAAGCCCCGGTCAGCCGAACTTGGGTTAGGGTTTAGGGTTTAGGGTTTAGGGTTTAGGGTTTGGGGTTTGGGGTTTGGGGTTTGGGGTTTGGGGTTTGGGGTTTGGGGTTTGGGGTTTGGGGTTTGGGGTTTGGGGTTTGGGGTTTGGGGTTTATGAACCTCAACCCTTCACCCCAGCACCCAACTCCGGCCTAAACCGCCAGCCCAGGTTGAAGCGGGCTCGGGCCGAGGCTACTGGGCCGTGAAGGCTGCCAAGGCGTACAAGAGGCAGCATCCGAGTGGCGCCTGCAGCATCGTACTGATCGAGTCGGAGGAGGAGCGCTCAAGGGTTTGGGGTTTAGGGTTTAGGGTTTAGGGCTAGGGTTTGGGGTTTAGGGTGTAGGGGTTAGGGTTTAGGGTAAGTCGGGTATTCGGGTATGGGATGCGGGCTTCGGCTTCGTAGGGCCTTCATATTACCGAAGTTGGGAATTGTGCTTTCCATACTACAAAACTGAAGGTTGAGGACTTGGACTTCCATTTTTTCGACCTAGGGTTTAGGGTTTAGGGTTTAGGTTTTAGGGTTTAGGGTTTAGGGTTTAGGGCTAGGGCTTTCCATTCTACAGAACTTTGGGTTTACCTTTCGACGGCAGGGCTGCCTAACTAAACAGCTTTGAGTTTAGGGCTTCCATACTGCATAACTAGGGTTCAGGGTTTAGGGTATAGGGTCGCTGCTTATAAGGAAGAGTGCGGGAGGCAGGGGACTGCTTGCAGGGATTATCCTGCCGCAGACCGAAACTGCCACTAGTTTTGGGGCTTTTTTGTATTAACCTATACGAAAAATAAGGGTTGGTGTGGGTTCTCGCGGTAGACCCAGAATCGGAGCAAGCGGAATCGGAGCAAGCGCCACTTGCGAAGGATATGAAGCTGGCAGCTGCACATCTTACGGACAACGGCGTGTTTTCCATCTGCAACGCTACACTGTATGCATCTTATGCTACACCCTCGTTGCTGGATTCGGTGATCCGGGGCCATGGCAGAGTAGATCTCCTCCATGTCGACATACAGCGTCTGAGCCTGACATGGAGCAACTGTTGGAGGTCTATTTTCAAGTTCCAATCCCTGTACAACCCTCTGACCCCTAAACCCTAGAAACCCGAAACACCCTATACACCCTATAAACCCTGTAAACCCTACATACACCCTAGAAACCCTAAGAAAACTCTAGAAACACTGCGAACCCTATAAACCGCCCATCAATCCTCTAAACCTTATATACACCCTAGAAACCCTAGAAAAACTCTAGAAACCCTGTACAACCCCCCCCCCCCCCCCCCCCCCCCCCCCAAATCCACCCCCTGAACCCTGAACCCTGAACCCTAAACCCTAAACCATAAACCCCTGAGGCGCGCCGAGCTGCCGCTGTTCCAAGGAAGCCAACTCCTCCGGAGCGTGCGGCGCGTACATGTGGGGACGCACTCCAGGCCTCTCTTACGTATAGGGTTCAGGATTTAGGGTTTAGGGTTTAGGGTTCAGGGTTCAGGATTTAGGGTTCAGGGTTCAGGGTTTAGGGTTTAGGGTTTAGGGTTCCCCCCCCCTCCCCCTGTCTCCTTTTTAAGGGCTTAGGGGTTTGGGGTTTTAGGGTTCAGGCCCCCCGGTCTCTTTGGTTTAGGGTTTTTGGATTTTATGGTTTTAGGGTTCTGAAGTTCTAGGTTCTTGGGTTCTAGGGTTCTAGGGTTCTAGGGTGCCAGGGTTCTAGGGTTCTAGGGTTCTAGGGTTCTAGGGTTCTAGGGTTCTCGGGTTCTAGGGTTCTAGGGTTCTAGGAGCTTAGAGTTTACAGTTTAGGCCCTGTTTTGTTGTCAGGCCTCAGGGCTTTTTAGGTTTAGGGGCTTCGGTGTCTTTGTTCATAGAACCCGGGGGGGATGCATGAGAAGACTACCTTGTTTGGTTCTGTAGTCCTAAAGTCTAAACCCTAAACCCTAAACCCAATACCCCTAAACCCTAAACCCTAAACCCTAAACCCTAAACCCTAAACCCTAAACCCTAAACCCTAAACCCTAAACCCTAAACCCTATTCAGGCTCATTCACCGGCACCTTCGCGTCTGGCTCCAACTCCTTGGCTTCCAACTCGACTTCGACCTGTCGCCCCTGAGCTTCGTGCGCTCCGCCTTCGGCCCCATTCCCACGAACGACGGGCTCCTAGCAGCCCACCGACATGGCGAAAGAGAGTCGGAGGTTTAGGGTTTAGGGTTTAGGGTTTAGGGTTTAGGGTTTAGGGTTTAGGGTTTAGGGTTTAGGGTTTAGGGTTTAGGGTTTAGGGTTTAGGGTTTAGGGCTTTTGCTGCCTTTTGCTTTCATGTTGGGGTGTGTGTGTGTGTGTGTGTGTGTGTCATGCTGGACTAGGGTCTTTAGGGTTCATAACAGGGTCTAGGGTGCAGGGTCGAGGGCTGGAGGGTGGCTATTCCGGGTCCTCCTAAGTGTCCGAAAATAGGGGTACCCTTTTCGGGGGACCCTTTAATTAAGGGGATTCTATTCTCTATTCTATTTGGGGTAAAAAGGGGTACCTCTATTGTGGGAAATGCCCAAATAGCTTTTTTGACAAAACAAGTTAGCACAAGTTAGACGAAGCTTTTGGATTTTGTTCGTGTCGTCTTTGTCCTTTGAACTTCGCGTGGACTACATGTGTGTGTGTGAGAGAGAGAGAAGTAGTTGTATATAGCAGGTGTATGCTTGTTGCTTGAATGGACTTCCCAAGCAAATGCATCATCTTTTTGCGTCTACTTGCTAGTTCTTAAACCCTAAACCCTAAACCCTAAACCCTAAACCTGTTTTTGAACTTGCCAGGTGGTTGACACTCCTGGTCGAATACTGCAGAAGGGGTTGGAGGTTTAGGGTCTACTGCGGCTTTCGAGTCTTTATAGGGGCCGCGAAACCTCTAAACCCTCAAGCAATTATGCACCCTAAACCCTCCACCCCTGAACTCCAAGCCCTAAACCCCTAACCCCTAAACCCGCAAACCCCTCACCCTTCGCACTGAACCCCAAACCCTAAACCTCTAAACCCCTAAACCTTTAACCCCAAGCCCTAAACCATAAACCCCAAACCCTTACAGGGCCCATGAGATGGTTCAGCGCTTTGGGGGCTTCAGAGGGATCACCGTTTAGGGTTTAGGGTTTAGGGTTTAGGGTTTCGGGTTTAGGGTTGAGGGTTTGGGGTTTTAAGTCTACATTTCTCAGGCATTGCCCCTCGGCAGTGTTCGCATAAGCTGCCGCTCATGGTTGGAGTGAGTCTGACGCCGCAATCCTATCCCAACCCTATAAACCCTAAACCCTATAAACCCTAAACCCTGAACCCTAAACCCTAAACCCTAAACCCTAACCCTAAATCCTACGCCCTAAACCCTAAACCGCTGGCTACGCTTTGCCCTTGCAGTTGTCGGATCGAGAGAGCCAGCCGCGCCTCCAATGCTGCGAGTCTGGCTGCCTTCGGGACGAGAGCTTGCCGCGCTGGCCGTGCCAACGGAGGACTTGAGGTCTGTGATACTCGGTAGTTTTGGGACATTGTCTATTTTCCTTATCGGGCTTCTAAGAGAATCATATTCAGGAGCATTTTTCAGAGGGCTTTCAGGGCCATCCTAGGATAGACCTGAAGTGCCTCTTGCGCACGCGGCACGGCTACCCTGTGTGCCTTCAAGAGCTCCTTCGGGCTGAGGGCTGCTTGGAGAATGGTGCTCTTCTGGATGGTCCTGTTGACCTGCAGCTGGTGGTGTTGTCGGTCTTAGGCCTTGACAAGATGCCTCAGGCGGCAGTGGAGCTTCTAGGTAGGGCCTTGGGAGATGATGTAATTTTCCCTTATTGGGTCTAAGAGGATGCCCATTCTAAAGAGGGCTTGAAGGGCCATCCTAGGCTCCTGGAGTACGCAGCCGGGACAGGCCATGTTGAAGTTGCGTCGGCTCTGCTGGAAGCTGGTGCCGACAAGAACTTCCAGGGCGCGGGGCACATGACCGCTCTCATGCGTGCATCGGAACGGGGCCACGTTGAGGTGGTGCGCCTGCTGCTGGAAGCCGGCGCTGACAAGAACTTCCAGGGCGCCTGGGGCATGACCGCTCTCACTCGTGCATCGGCTCAAGGCCACGTTGAGACAGTGCGTCTGCTGCTGGAAGCAGGCGCGGACACGAACTTGAGCGAGATCCTGGGCACAGACACCATGACTGCTCTCATGTTTGCATCTTCACACGGTCACGTTGAGATTGCGCGCCTGCTGCTGGAAGCCGGTGCTGACAAGAACCATCAGGACGAGTCCGGCGTGACCGCTCTCATGGTCGCCTCTCGCAAGGGCCACGTTGAGATTGTACGCTTGCTACTGGAAGCTGGTGCCGACAAGGACTTCCAGAGCAGCTCCGGCCTGACCGCGCTCATGCACGCAATGGAAGGTGGCCACGTTGAGATTGTACGCTTGCTGCTGGAAGCGGATGCTGACAGGAATTTCCAAGACGAGCCAGACATGCCCACTCTCCTGCACAGCCGATCCGACATGCCCGCGCTCATGCACGCACCTTGCCCTCGCAGCGTGCCTGCAAGGCAGCTCCCCACTGGTGGGCCCCAGCGCGCGTACATGCCCGCGGGAGGCACGCTTGCCGTGACCTACCGGAACTTCACGACGACCATGCCGGGGAACTTGGATCACTCGAAGGGTCACTTCGCCAGCAGTAGAATTTTGCCGACTTTGCCATCTTCTTCTCGTTGCCCAGCTTTTGTCGAAGCAACCCGTCAACCCGTCGGTAGCACCGTAGAAGATATACAGCAGAAAGTGAAAATGGCAACTGCCCCAATCCCCCAAAGCTCCCCTCATCCCCCCGGAACCCGAACCCCTAAACCCCAGACCCTGCACTCTAAAACCCTAAAACTCTAAACCCTAAACCCTAAACAGAGTAAAGGAAAGTGGTTCGCCCCCGGCGAGGCGCTGCCACCCGGCTTCGTGGTCACCTCCCACCCAGGGGGCCACACCATCCCCCAGGAATTGTGTGGGTTTTTGGAGGGGCGTTTTGGGGGGTTAGGGGTTTTAGGGGTTGGGGTTTAGGTCTACGTTAGTGCTTTAAAAGGGTAGATGTTATATGTATATGTATATATGTATATATATATATACTGTCACATAAATATGCGAACTCTAAACCTATGACATCTTGCAGTACTTCCTTTTGGTGCTTGAACTGGCGCGGGGCAATGTGGCAGGGACGTGAAATTCGCTGCTATTAGGACTAGGGTGCGTTGAAAAGCATGTGTCCGCTTCGTGCAAGGAGAGTTCGATGACGACGATGACGATGATGACGATGATGCTTGGAGCGATGACGATGCTAACCCTCAACCCCAAACCCTAACAAGAAACCCTCAACCCTAAACCCCCAAAGCTCCACAAACGATCTACGAAACCCTAAACCCTAAACCCTAAACCCGAAATAGGAGCACCACGGCATGACGGACAAAGCCCGGGAGATCTTTGGGACCAACGCCAGCGCGCCGGCGCCGGCGCTGGGTTTTGGAGGGCCTCCACGCCCGCAAAGACGCCCCCTAAACCCTAAGCCCTAAACCCTAAACCCTAAACCCTAAACCCTAAACTGGGAGGAGTTGGATGGAGAGTTGGGTTCCGGTTCTACTGTAGAATAATGGGATCATAATGCGGGCGCTTAGTGTCTACTATTACATATATGTATATGTGTTATACATATATATATATATACACACACAAAACATACTTGAACATGTTGGTTTTTGGTTTTTGCAAAACAGTATTGATTTCGTGAGCACCACAAATAGTGAGGACGTCTGGTGTGAGGTGCACGGTTTCGGGTGCGGTCAGCTGAGGAAGAGCAAGACGGGCAAGAAGAAGAACGGCTTCTGTTGCTAAGCACAGGGAATTCAAGGCAGGTTACGGGAGCCCCTTAAAGGGTTCAAGTACTTCAGTAGTCAAGTTCATCCCCTTGTGATCCGTGCACAAGTGCAATATCTAGCACACAGCAGCGTTGTAAGACAGCAGCTTGGGTCGGTTGGTTCATTTGTGGAACGCGGCTTGCACGCATGCTGTGCTTGGCTTTTCTTCGCAGCCCTTGAACAAGATTTGTTCAATCTCCGCCCGCTGGATGGGCTTCGTAGGGTTTAGGGTCGAGGGCCTTGAGCCGACGGCTTCTTTGCTGGTGTTTTTAGTTTTCGATGGGTTCTACAGCTAGTCATCGGGCCGACGACCGAGCAGCCTCTCTAAAAGTTGCCAGTTCCAAGGCCTACGCCCCAAACATCCCCAAACACTGAAGCCCTAAGACCTATACACTCTAGAGACTCGACCTGTGTCCCTGTGTGTAGGCAATTGTGGTATATCTCCGCCAATCTCCAAATGCAGGGCAGTGGCTCTTTGCTACTTTCTGAGGGCCCGCATGAGCCAGGTGGGGGGAGGGGGGGTGAATCCAGTGTCTCAGACGAGTTGCTGCTCGATTCTCACTTCGCTGATGATGGCATCAGTGTGTCTCAAGTGCCAGCTATAATGTCACATTCCGAGCGACATGGGGAATGCTGCTCTTACGTGCTTTGTCTCTCTGCCTTTCAGTGCGGTTCGCCGCGGAGACACCCTTGTGGAGGGCCAGAGGGCCAAAGCCTGGAGCCCTGGCCGCTGCCGGGTCAAAAGCACCTGCTCCATAGGGACGCTGACAGACTGCAACTAGCGCGAGTTGAAAGACGGGAGCACTGACTCTCTCTCTCTCTCTCTCTCTCTCTCTCTCTCTCTCCCCCTAAGGTGACTAAGGTGCGCAACACCCTAAACCCTAAACCATCCTAAACCTAAAACCCCTCCCTCCTCTCCTTCACTCTCCTTCTCTGAAACGAGGAGGGGAGCGGTCCGCTGGGCAGAGTCTTGAGTGATCCAACGTCCTTGCCGGAAGCCCCAACACACCTACAAGCCAAAACACGTTGCATCCCCGACCCAAAACCTTAAACCCCTCTAAACACCTTTACTCACTCAAAATCATAAGCAGATCCATAAGCAGTAAACCCTGAACCTAAATCCTTAGGGTTTAGGGTTTAGGGTTTGGGGGTTAGGGTTTAGGGTTTAGGGTTTAGGGTTTAGGGTTTTTATCTTTCTGTTTTTTAACCTCAAGCCCTAGGTGAGTTGAGAAGCCTCTGAAGCAATCACACCTGCCAGGCCGGTGCTGTGGGCGCTGGCAAGCTGCCACTCCTGAAGGCGCTGAGCCTTTTGGGG